GTACTTGGTAGGTATACTGGTTACTGTGGAATCAGTCCTTCCCTGGAAAGTCTAATCAGTACATTTTGGGGTTGCCATTCCGAAGCTCTGCGAACTAAGCTACTCAAGTTTACATTTTTCTGGCAAAAACAATACTTTGGAATGATGGTTCTCAGCATATTGTAGATCATGATGCATGCAGACTGTAAAGCACTATATATTTTCGATATACTTGCTGCTGGGGTAAGACTAAATATATATAAATATAAATCATCAAATATGTAGGATAAAGACCAATACCATGGGCAAAACACTTACGTTCACGAGAGCTTGGAATAATATAATTTTGTCGAACTGTTGATGTAAAACTTAAGTAGATAGAATCTTTGTATTTGTTTTAAGATAGTATGAAATAATAATGTTAACAATCTGGAATCAAGGTATACTGACATTTGATTTTCATTCAAACAGGTTGACAGCTTATACTATTAAAGTTTTCTACAACGTTTTGGAATTGGGAAAGTATGTTGACAAAGACAAATTATGCGCTGCATTTAGATATCTTCAGACCCGGTACAGAGATACCGATGTTGGTCAAGGTTTATTCTTTGAAGGAAATGCAGTTGTCCACAGAGATATGACGGTAAGTCCTCAAACAATTATCTCGAACTCGTTTACATTCCATTTAGTACGTTATACATATGTATATTTCTGTATAGATATTTAAAATAATACAGCTGTTTCCTTGACCTTGGAATGTTTGAAGGAGTTATGGCACCAATTACACCACCTGACATAGAATTTGAAGCTAACTCATTCTTCATTGCCTGCAATGAACTTTTCTTGCTGGGAAAATGTGGCATTTTTTTGTTTTGCTGTTGCCATGAGATGCAATGGAGAATTTACCTCATTGAGGTCTTTTATTTTTTACTGAATATTGCAGAAGGCAGTGCGAATTCACAATTTCACCATAACTTCGTCTTAATAGGAAAATTGAGTATTTTCAGCGGAGTGTGTGTATATATAATAATAAGATGATTCATCTAATTCAATTTTCCTTTCTAGTGTACTGACATAAATATTTTTATCAACTTGTACATTAAAAATGTTAAAAATATCTTTAGAACATGGAAATACATAATTTGCTCTCCTTTCAAATCACAGTGTTTAGTCAAAATATTAGTAATTAAAGCTTTTTTTTTTGGACATGCACTTTCAATTTTTGTTGTGTGAGGTCAACATGAGGTAGACCATCCTCCACCCTATGATCAGTACTGATGGGAAGTCATCCTCATCTCCCACATTTCTTGGTCTTTTATTACATTGCTCATTGCTGAAAATTTCATAACTACAGGGAATAAGTGAAAGTTCGTAAATCGTACTCCAAAATTCTAATGTTTAATCAGTTTAGAATATAATTGATTTAAACATTGTGCCCGGACATGCACTTACAAATATTGTTGTGTAAGGTCAACATGAGGTACACCAGCCTCCACCTCTTCATCATTAATTCTTTTAATCTTATATTTTTCTAAATGATATCTAGTAAATCTTTTGTGTTTTATGTGTGTGTTGAGTGCTGCCTTGGAGAGCCACATAATAGTGGCACTTTTGTGTACTTTTGGTTATCCAGAGTTGGCAGCACTTTGTGTGTTTGTTTCTGTTTTTATTGTCTTTTTTTTTAAATTGTAATTTTGATTGTAATTTTAACCCGAAATAAATTTGAAATGAATTTTAATTGAAAAATTGAATTGGAAGTCGTCCTCATGTCCTAGAGTTCTTGGGTTTTTACCACATAGCTTACTGGTACTGCTGAAAATTAAAATAAATTAATTGCAATGAATACATGGAAGTTGATAATTTTAGCACTCCTCCATAATCATAATGTTTAATCAGTTAACATTATTAATTTAAACATATTTTTCCAGACATGCATTACAAGATTGATTTGTAAGGACAACATTAGGCAGACTAGCCTACATCTCATTACCATTATTGATGTTAACATCGTCCTCATCTCTTACAGTCTTTGGTTTTTTTTTTTATTGCATTGCTTACTGCTGAAAATTAAAATAATATCTTTACAAAGAATACATGAAAGTTGGTAATTAGCCCTAACTTCAAAATCACAATCACTATATTGTTTTATAATGTAATAGTCTGTTTGTTTTTGGTTTAATTTTTTCTCTTATGTTGTTGTTAAGCGCCTTGAGGTTGTGACAACTTGAGTATATAAATCCAGAATAATAATAATAATAATAATAATAATAATAATAATAATAATAATAATAATAATAATAATAATAATATTAGTACTACTACTACTACTACAGCGTTTAGTCAGTCACAAACATTGAAAAATTTAACATTTCTTTTGGCCATGTACTTACAATTCTTGTTGTGTGAGGTCAAAACCAGGGAGACCATCTTCCACCTCATCATCAGTAATTATGGGAACGTCATCCTCTTCTCTTACATTCCTTGGTCTTTTACTGTATTGAGAAACATGTTGAATATATAAGGGATTAAAATTTCAGCGACACATTCCTTAAGAATTCTATGGGACACGTTATCAGGTCCAACAGCTTTTTAGGTATCTCATGATTCAAGAATTTTGAGCACATCCGATTCATCAATTTGTATGTTACCTATAGACATGTACTTCCATACCGGAATGTTCGGAAACTCACATTGAGAAATATTATTTGAAAAGTTTGAGAAAAAATATTTGGTGCTGCTTTATTGCTGCTTTACCTTTAGCCTCATTAGCTGATAGATCATTGCTAAATTTAACTTTAGGTAGGCACATAGACTTTGTTGTGGCTAGGAAACGACCAAAATCTTTTTGGATCCGCCATTGTAATTAGTCATTTGCTGATATTGTATTGTGTAATTATTTGATTGTATTGGACTCATTTTTCTACCGATTTGTATTTGGTATATTTATCTCGTAATAAATAAGTAAAGGTTATAAAATGGTAGTTTAATATCAATTATTATTCTCACGTTGATTGTGACGTCATAACTGCTTATAACTGTAGATGGTCTAACTTCACACCTCCATGATGCAAACGCTGCCATAACCACACATAATAGTTATACTGAATAATAGTTACAATAATACTGAAATATGAACAGTAATATCATTCTAGGCCTACCAAACATAGTCCATTTCATAAAGTCTACTCTAATAGTTAATTTTTTAACAAGCAAAATCAATCAACATATTAAATTTTATCATATTGAAAAGTACTGCTATTATCATGAAATACTTAAACAATAACTTAAAAAAACAAACTTGATTAATGAAATAGATGGACAATCGAACAAGTTCGAGTGATAACGTAACTTGGGGCCAATTCAGTTATTAAACCTTTTATTTTGGTCAGCACGTTCAAAAGTTTAAACACATTCTTGCTCTTCATATTACCATCTCAATTAATCATTCACCTCAGCTCAGATAAATCAAATGGCCGAATTTTGTTTGTGATACCCCTGGGAATTTGTGTCCGAAATCACAAGATCACATGGATATATTCATAACAGATTTGAGCTTGTATAGGTATTACATTTTATTAACATTTTTAAAAGCCCTGTCTATTTCTATTGATGCTATCTACCAGAGATAATATAGTATTGTAAATGAAAACTACACTGTTTTAAGATAGAGATAGGGAAGGAACATGTGGTGAAAAAGATCTGACTGATTTTGGGATTGTTATTCTTGCTGTTTTCCTTGATCAGGGTTGCGTAATTCTTGCTGTTTTCCTTGATCTCAGTGCCGCTTTTGACACCATTGATCATCCCATTCTATTCATAGACTATCATCTTTTGGCATTTGCGGAACAGCCCTGTCATAGTCTATATCATATCTCACCTCTAGGAAACATCAGGTTCGCATTGGATATGTAGTTCTTCGGCTTGTACTGACATAATCTGTGGTGTCCCCCAGGGGTCTATATTGGGACCAATATTATTTGTATTGTATGTTTCCTCACTGAGTAAACTTATTAGTAGTCACGGTGTTCAGTATCATGCATACGCCGATGATACTCAACTGTATATTAGCTTTCAAGCTAATCACTGGTTTGAGGGAAAAAATATAATTGAAACATGTCTTAGAGATGTACAAGCCTGGTTATCACAAAATATGCTCTGCTTCAATCCTGATAAGACTGAAGTACTATGTATTCATTCAACACCGCCTCCAATCAATAGCATCGCGATTGGAGCCGAGACTAATGTTCTTCTACCATCAGAAATTCGCAATATTGGAGTTGTTTTTGACTCTAATATGTTGATGGTGAAACACATATCCAACATTTGCAAGTCCGTTACGTGTCACAAACATCAGGCACATTAAAAGGCTCCTGACCAATGACGCTCTTCTTAAATTAGTGCAGGCTCTTATACATCTCGGTTGGATAACTGTAATGCTGTTCTCTGTGGTATTCCTGCTAGTCGGTTGAGAAGATTGCAGCTATGTCTTAACACAGCAGCCCGGTTCGTCTCCGGAACATCTAGAAGTGAGCACATTACACCTATCCTCAATCGACTGCATTGGTTACCGATAAACACGATTTTACTCTTCACATACAAGGCTCTTCATAATGCTCCACAATACATTGTTCAACTATTGAAGTCTCGTTCTGCAACATGTTCTCGGTCTCTGAGATCAACCACTGACACGTCTATACTATCAGTTCCCGCATCACGTCTGAAGACCTACCGCGACGGCGTTCTCTGTAGCTGCCCCAAAGTTGTGGAATTCATTACCGGCTGATCTTCGTGAGGCACCTTCACTCCTTGTATTTAAAAAGAATTTGAAGGCTTATCTCTTCAATCTTTGTTAACTTTCTCATGGTTAATAATTCTCATTTATTTGTTAATCTCTGTAGTTAAATTTCTGTAGTTAAGTTTTTTTCCCCTGAAAAGTCGCACCTCCTTACTTGAGGTAGCGCTGCCAACATAGCAGTGCACGGTAGGGGAGCCATAGGCTTATCCTACCGGAGCCCAGCAAACTGACGCCCAGGTACCTGCGTGTACACGGTAGTGATGGCGACGCTATCTCAAAATGGGGGG